ATAAAAGTCTTTTTATGAATAACATATAATGAAAGAAATGACAAATAAAATTATGCTTAAATTCTCGTTACATTAATATATAAATTATCAAGTTTTTACATCAAAGATATTGTCACTGTTGATAAAGTAGTAGAGCTACATTTTATTTAAACAATACGGACACAGAATAAGTTTGTGCTCCTAAATCACAGTCGGCTGATGACACCTATAAATTCCCAATCTAATTATTTTAGAAAGATATGCCGACAAATAAAACATCGCTCCAAGCGCTCCGAAATTGAGTCACTCTTACTTTATAGAGCTCCAAATTAGTTTATCAGGACCATCCAGCCAAATTAACACTTTTTTATATACGACCGTTTTAATTAAACTTAATTTATTCGATGTTAAAAATATGAACAAACCGTAAATTTTAAGGCAATTACTATTTTTAATTTCTTTAATAAAAAGGAAGAATTAATTTGTCTATTATAATTTAAATTAGAAAAAAATAAATATCAAAGACTAAGATGTTGCAGTTGAATTTATCCGCAAGCTATTTGGCTCTTAACGTTTAATTTGTACGCCATTGTATCCGGGAAAAGAGACCGACAAAATTAATTACCGTTTGCTTATTTTTTAATTAAAATTAGATTTTATGAAACGGCCGTCTACGTAATCCTTAATATTTCATAAAAGATGGAAATTCTAGTGGCGCCATATTGTGAGAAAAGGCATCCATTTCGGTAATATTTTGCATTTTCAAGTGGATTTATTTCACGGATGATTTGACCTACTTCCATTTTTCGTAAACATTCTGTTGTGTTATAATCTTCAATTCGTGGAATGATATTTTTCATTTCCCGATAAATAGGTATCTTATTATCATTTTCTTACAATCCCTCTCATTTTATGGACAGCAATCGGCGCTATAAAATATTTCGTTTAAATCGAACCACAGTATAATACCAGAATAGAATTAGAGTAAATTTTTGTTCTCCACTCAGTTAGCAATTTGTAAACATTGGTTCGGTCTTAAAGCAGTTCGTTCACTACGAATTCAAAACACGCCAACACATCAGGAACCCAATCACTTAGTAGGTCATATCGGCTCTCTCATGGAGGCAAAATTAACATATTTTCCCTTATCGACAAATATGGAGGCCCAACTCGGCCTTATCAGGGATGTTTTAAACGAAATATACAACAAGGGTAAATATCGAAGGAAACTGTTCGTTTTGAACAAATGCGCCCACGCCCAAGGGAGGAGAGATTACAACATGTTGGAATATAAATCTTACCAAACAGTGCAGTACATTTTGTGGCTAGCTGCAAATAAATGTCATTGTACTACTCCCCTAGCCTGGTTTTGGACATCCACGCCCCACGATACGCGAAAAACATTTACAGTGTCATTTGTAAGTCTTGAGAATTGGATTTGTTAGCAAAATTTAGTAGACTCAGGCAAAATATCTTAGTAAATATAAAAAGTTTATTTTAGTAATGAACCAAACAAATGTAGGTAGAGAATAAGATCAGAGGAGTAGAATTATTAAAAGTTTTTAATCGTAATATATTTTATTACTAGACGAGAGACAGAGAGAGGGCAAAAATATTCATTCATCCACATGAACCGCTGGAAAGATTTTTTAAAGCCGCCTTTAGGCCCGTTTCCAATCCTATCAAATTGTACAGGTTTATACTGGCAGCGATGGCTGGTTCTTCATAGTTCTTAGAGTCCATTTTCACATCCTAATTTAATGTTGGCCTGGGGGATTAAAAAGCCCGCATCTACTAATTCCAATAGAATTTGATTTTCATAACTTGCCTAGTTAAAATGGCCTCTAACGCTGTGAGAGTAGTATTAGGGAACTACAAATTTTTCGCAAGTAGAGTATACAATATTAGTCTTATTACAATTAGTATAAAACAATCTTTTTAAAAAGCTTTGCGTCTTAAATCATAGTTTTTATTTAATGTATTATAATGGAATGTTGCTACCTAAACCTAAACCTGAACTAACGGTTTACGCTGGTGGGGCATCAGAAAGGATGGTATGATGGATATAGAAACGGGACATCATATTCTATCGGAATGGCAACACATGAGTGGTATTATGGGCATTTCATGATAACATGATGTCTATGGATATAAGCGATACTATAGATTACCACTTTTCATCTGGTGGGTTCTAGCTCTATTTATCGGTAGCTTTTGATCACTACATATGAATTGGAATTGGATGTCAGGTAGTACACTAATCATCAATAAATAATTGCTTAGTCGAGGTTAGCTAAATAATGGTAAACAACACTATCACAGTTGTCAAAGCATTTATAAGCTTTTGCTTAACGACTGTTATCTACGTACAACCAAGGCTAACGGCTTAATGTGCTCACTAAAGCATGGAAATGCTCAAATTAACATGCCCCAGCCATGTACGGTCACTAACAATACCATGCCATGAACTAACCCTATAATGCTTATAGTATCACGTATTAGCTTTAGAAATCTGTTACCGTATTCCGAACACTTTGTTAATAAGCAGGTTGTATTATTAGCTCGAATATCACAGTAAAGGACATTCGACAATACCGTCTATAAAAAAATAGACGGTCACTTAAGTTCTGAAAAAAGAACTATACTTATCGTAAATATGAGATAAAACATGCATTATGCAATTTATTGGTGCATGAAACAGAAATAATTTATCAACATTTGAAGTCATGTTACTTAACACACATAAAATATTGTTCCAAAGTAAATCTACCATAAAAGAATCATCAAGAGTTACTTAGCATTGCAGAAAATACACAAAAAATACACCAAAACTATGAGTTCTCTTTGTGTATTGGTTGATTACCTACTTGTCCTGACATCTACATAAACGAAGTGGCAAGCACAGCAGGTAATCATTTATAAATCACAAATAATCGAGTAACACTGCTTCGTGAATCTTGAATTTATAATTAATCGTTTAATTATAAAAAACCATATTATGTAAAATTCTAAGTAAATAGGCATTAATAATTTTATTTTCCTTCAAATTAATGGCCACTTCGTAGCTATATAAGATAAAAAAATGCTTATTGATTGAATTGAAGAAGCATAATCAAGATTTTGATTAAAAACATTACTGAATCAATTAATTGTGTGTCATATTTTATCCACACGGTCTATTTCGTCTTGATTGAGGTGTATTGAATACATATGTTTTAATAATTTTATTATACATATAAATATGTATGGTCAAATTATTTTACCGTTTGTCAGTATTATTCATAGTTTATGATCATTATTTCTTTTCTATGTGACTCTTAACAGGCTTTCGAAACAAAATGGTAAAATGAAACTGGATAGTGAAAATATTTCAGATTAGTTGAACGCTGTAATTCAGATACTGAATTTGAAATCAAGGTTAATTACAGATGAAAAAAATGTAAGTTGTTTAGAAATATTTATTTAAATGTAGTATTATGCCAGAATAATAGTAAATAATATCTCCTGTCGACAGTAATCACAAATGAAGTAATTAAAATTACTAATGTCGATGTTGTGGTGAATGGAAGGCAACACTTGACACATTTTTCTAAAAATATTTACATTTAACGTGGCAGATTTATTTGCTTGCTTATGAGTATACTGGGTGTTTCGAATCAGATTTCATTTACAAGTTATTTTATTATGTCTATCCATTTAATTCATCAAGCTCTCAATCGTAGAGAGTTATTTTTCGAAATGGTATGAATATTATAGTTTTTAGTTAGATTTTGTCTACGAAATCATATGGCAGATTGTATATACTCGTATCTTCAAAATTATTTATACGACCTTAACCCGCAGATCTGCGGGTGAATTTCCATTTCGGTAAATGGAATTATCATTGAATAGTGATTGTATCAATAATTTGGTTGTGGCCCAATGCAATTATGTTCCGTTTTACACACCGAAATCTCATTCGTGATGATTACGTCAATTGTCCACGATGCGGGTGGTGACAGCTTGTTGGTTACAATATTTAGAGGTCTAATTATTGAAATATCATATGGGGTAATATTTGAGATAGCATTAACTGTATTGTCGTTGAATTGTGATGACTTGATGAATTAATGAAAAAATAATTAGGGTAAAATTATAGTTCGTAGATATGTGTTGATCTTATGTATGAATGATTTGTTTTGTTATGTTATAGTGATTATATGTTTAATATATAGTTTTTAATCGTATGAAAATAGAAAAATATACTACATTCTTAATTATCAAATAGAGCAACAACCAAGGTACTTGTCCATTCATCTTGACTGAATATGAATTACAAATGTGATGGTTCAATAAAAAAAAAGTAAATTTGTGAAAGTAAAAAAAGTAAAAAGTAATTTTTCTATTCCATTCTGTTAGATTTGTTGTTATTTTTTATTAAAGGTATTTTTTGTAGTTGACATTGTAATAGTAATCTTGCCTACACTAATAGCATAAACATTGTTAGTATAAACACCAGTTAAATATGAAAGGAAATGAACAAATAGGTACCGTGAGGTCAAAAAGCTGCTATTGAGGGTTCCAATTGAAACTACCATTCAATAGGGATGATAGGAATTTATTAAAAAATATTACTATAGGGAGGTCATTAAAACAAAAAAAATCTTAATAGCGCCATCTACATTTACCTGTGGCGCCATCTAGTTTGCACGGAGTGAACTAATATTACACATTCGTATCTATCTTAAACATACCGCCCACCAAGGACACCATGGCCTTAACAATCTTATTATAAACAACACAACCGCCCACCATGAATAACCTAAGCACAAAATAAATTGAACCATTAAAAGTTATATTTATAAACCTAAATACATTTTTCAAACAAATTCTATAATATACAATTATGACTAACTCCATAGTAGACTGTATAAATAAAACAATAAACGAAAACAAAGTCCTTCACTTAAATTCATCTAAAAAAATACATCTAGTAGGTTAAACATGTATCAAGTATTTATATATGTAAATAACAAATCATTTTACACTTTACTATTATCATCAGTAACTGGCAATATACATACTTTAGAAACAGGGCGTTTGATCTGAGAATTTTTACATTTTAATGTAACTACACGCGTAATATTATCAGCTCCAGTATGTTTTGCGACAATTTTACCCAAAAGCCATTTAGTTGGAGGCAAATCATCCTCTTTAATCAAGACAACATCGCCAATTTGAGGTTCGGGAATTTGATGTGTCCACTTATATCTTTGCATACAATGTGACAAATACTCATTGGACCATCTACGCCAGAAGTGTTGTAGCATTCGTTGAACCAATTGCCATCTTTTTAATGAACTAATATTTAAGTTTTCATAATTTGGTGAAGGAACATTTACTAGAGGTTCTCCTATTAAAAAATGTCCCGGAGTTAATGGTAATGGTTCCTCTAGATTATTACTCATTATTGAAATTGGGCGCGAATTCAAACATGCCTCCACTTGGCACAGAAGTGTAGACATTTCCTCAAATGTTAAAGTAGCGTCCCCAATCACGCGTTTTACGTGGAATTTTGTGGACTTGATCCCTGCCTCCCATAAACCAGCAAAATTAGGTGCCCTAGGAGGTATAAACTTCCATGAAGTACCATCTGTAGCTAAAATTTCAGCTATTTCCTTGGACATCGACGAATTTTCTGCATTAAATAAACATTTTAATTCTTTAGAAGCACCTACAAAATTTGATCCATTATCGCTCCATAGCTCAGAACAATAACCACGACGCGATACAAACCGTTTAAATGCATCAATAAAACCTTTAGTTGACAAGTCACTCACTACCTCAAGATGGACTGCCCTTGTCACCATACACACAAACAAACATATATATCCTTTGTACGATTTATGACCTCGACCTTTTGATGTTCTCAAATTTATCGGACCCGCATAATCGACTCCGCTACATAAAAATGCACGTGCAGGAGTAACTCGAACAGAAGGTAAGTTACCCATAAATGGAGTTTGTGTTCTTGCCTTATGCCTTATACATGTTATGCATTTGCGTACGTACTGTTTAATTACATTTTTTGCTCTGATAATCCAATAAGCTGTACGTAAATAATTCTGCATTAGTTGTGGACCACCATGCAGCGTTTTTTTGTGAGCATTGGCTACAATAAGGTGTGTTAAGTGCGATTTATGAGGTAATAAAATAGGATTCTTTACATTATTATTTTCCAGTGACTGCTGAATTCTCCCTCCAACTCTAATTACACTATCTTTATCAATAAATGGGCTTAAATTAGTTATTTTGCTTGTCTTTATTTTAATTTGTCCATATTTTTTCAGTTCTAATATTTCCTGAGAAAATTCTCTTTGTTGACACAATTTAATACAACACATTAATGCTTCATCCAGTTCCCATTTGTTTAAATAATTTAATTGTCCATTCTCTGCTAAAATCCTTTGTTTTGTAATAATACGTCTACACCATGCTATAATTTTAATAAGCTTTGTAAGATCCGAATATTTATCTACAATAAAATTCTCTATAGTTATATGATGTACCTTTACAGTTTCTTCCAAATGAGTTTCATTGCATTTTAATTTAGAATATTCTATATCTTTATTCCATAAAAATTCAGGACCGGAATTCCAAAGATCATGGGCGATAAGAAGCGATGGACCCAATCCTCGAGAGGCACAATCCGCAGGGTTTTGTTTGGATGACACGTGATACCAATGAGAGGAATCTAAAACTGTTAATATCTCCGATACCCTGTTCGCTACGAAGGTCTTCCAACTACTCGGGTGCTTACTCAACCAAGCCAATACTACCGTGGAATCGGTCCATGCCTTTACGTTTGTTATTGGAACAACTAATATATCAGCAACTTCTACTAGTAATTTTGCTAACAATACTGCACCGCAGAGTTCTAAGCGTGGTATACTAATTTGTTTTATGGGAGCTACTCGGCTCCTTGAACTAACTAATGACACGTGTACTACTCCACTCGAATCTATAATCCGAGCATATACCACAGCTGCGTATGCTATTTGAGATGCATCGCTAAAGCCATGCAATTCAACGCTGACATTATCATGCTTAGTGTACATCCATCGGGGAATTTTATATGCAGTAAGTTGTGGCAGTTCTGAACGGTAAGTAAGCCATTCTTTTATTAACTCTTTAGGTGCTTCTTCATCCCATTCTAAACCGGCCAACCAGAGTTTCTGTATCATTACTTTAGCTATTACTACACTAGGTGCTATCCAACCCATCGGGTCATATAACCTAGCTACATCTGACAATATTTTTCTTTTAGTTACAGGTGCGGACAGCGGCGGCAACTTCACTGAATATTGGAATTCATCGCGGTTTCTATTCCAGGTAAGTCCTAATATGTTAATAGTATTATCTGTTTTTATTTCTATATTTTCTATTTTTGTATCTGTATTACTAATCTCCTTTTCTCTTCCTTCTCTCTCTTTATCATTTTGTATTACCTCCATAATTTCATCTTTATTGCTATTCCATTTTTGTAATTTAAATCCCGCTTTCATTAATAGTTCATTCATTTCATGATATATTTGTAAACATTCCTGTACTGTTTCTCCTCCGGTCATTAAATCATCCATATAGAACTCTTTAGCAACCCGTGCTGCAGCCAAAGGATACCTTTCTCCTTCATCATAAGCCACCTGATTAAGTGCTCTGACTGCTAAAAAGGGAGCTGATGATGTTCCGAAGGTGACAGTTAATAATTTGTAGTCTTTTATTTCATCATTTATATTCTCTCTCCATATAATTCGTTGATAATCATTATCTTCTTCTGCTATTTTAATCATTCTATACATTTTAATTATGTCCGCAGTTAAACATACGGGATAGCTTCTCCAGCGCATAATAAGGTGACGTAACTCGCCTTGTATCGTAGGTCCTACTAATAATGTATCATTTAATGATATACCGTTTTCATTTTTGCAGGATGCATCGAACACAACTCTTGTTTTGGTGGTAGACTTATCTTCACGTACCACGGCATGATGAGGTAAGTAAACTGACTCATTTGCTTTATAATCTGGCTGTTTTATTAATTTCATATGGTTCATAGACAAATATTCATTTATCACTTTAGTATATTCATTCTTAAGCTTGTTATCCTTTGCTAATTTTTTCTCTAAATTATAAAAACGCTTGATAGCTATTTCTCTGGAATTACCGCCTTTACAAGGAGGATCATCCGTACGAAATGGTAACTTAACAATATATTTACCATCAGAATCTCTTTTTGTAGTTGCAACAAAAATGTCTTCGCACTTTTGTTCATCTAGTGTTAATATTTTCTTACAGCAATTATCCGCCATTTCAATCTCCCAGAAACGTTTCAACGCGTCATCTTCTTGGACGTGAGTATGCATAACAACATTAACAATTCTTTGTTTACCAGGACTTACAGAATTAATGGGACCAGACAAAATCCATCCTAGTGAAGTACATTGGGCAACTGGAGATCCCGCAAAACTCTTTATTACTCCATCTTTAATAATCTGACTGTACACTTCAGCCCCTAATAATACGTCTATTTTATTAGGTGTATCATAATGCGGATCTGCTAAGCTAATATTCTTGAATTCATCCCAATCGCCAATAGACACACGTGACTCAGGTAAGTATGAAGTAATTTGCTTTAAAACATAAGCCTTTACGTCCATTGTAAAGGATGGATCTGTTGTTGATTTTAACTTTAGCATGACAATATATTTTGAAACAACTGAACTTTTACCTCCAATTCCAGATATTGTTCCTTTTGTAGGAATCTTTTTTAAACCGAACACCTGCACTATGGATTCCGAAATAAAAGAAGCTTGTGATCCCTGATCAATCAAGGCTCGAACCATCTTATACTCCCCGGTTCTTGTTTTAATATTAACTGAAGCAGTAGCTAATAATATTGTACTAACTTTATTTTGACTAAAACAAGAGACAATTGGTCCACTCGAAGCATTACCAATTTCCTGACTCGTAGAAGGAATCGCATCAACCGTTTGTACTATGCTACCTTGATTAACGTTTGACGACCCTGCTTGAGAATGAAGAAGAGAGTGGTGACGTCTCTTGCATATTCTACAACTAATGGGCTTTCGACAAAATTTTACCGAATGGTTACTCCCTAAACAGTTGAAACAAATACGTTGATTAACTACAAATTCATGTCTTTTGTTATAACTCTCAGAAGCAAACTGTTTACAAAAACACAATTTATGATTGCCTGAACAAAATTCACAAGCTATATTTGTAACATTTGTAACATGTAGTGCCTTTGTTTTTACAGGATTATTAAGTGAACATCTATTCTCAAATTTCTTATTGTGTGGTTCTACGAACTCTAGTGCTCTATATCTACTAGTTAAAAATTCTTTAAATTGATTAAATGTAGGCAACGAATCGGAATTAGTATTACTAGTGACGTTAAGCTCCCACTGTTTACGGGATTCAGGGTCAAGTTTTAAAGTTAATACATGAATGACAATTATATCCCATGAGCTTACGTTAATACCAATATTAGACAAGGCACTCAAACACTCGGACGATGTATCTAGTAATTCCTTTAAAAAACTAGATGACTCTGAGGACGCATTTTTTTGACTAAGTAGTCTTTTTAATATACAATGAGACAAGTACTTCTTGTTATTATAACGTTCTTCTAATTGTTTCCAACAAAGATCATAGTTACATTCCGATACTTGAATATGTCGAACAAGTTGTTCCGCCTCACCCGTTAAATACCCTTTTAAATAGTGTAACTTCTGAACTTTATCTAATGAGTCATTATTATGAATCATCGAAATAAATAAATCTCTAAATGTTGGCCATTCTGTGTATTTTCCTGAGAAACTACCAATAATGATGCGGGGTAATTTAACATGGCTCGACTTAACATTTGCAACATCATTGGATACATTGACACTACTACTATTTTTATTTTCAAAACTTTTTAACTTTAACAATTCACATTTATAATCGAAATACAACTCTTCTGATTTATCAAACAATTGTTCTGTTACATACTCATGACTTTTTAATTTACCAGGAGCAGCTATTTTTAATATTTCTTTATGGCCCTCCTTAAATTCTAACCATAACTCTTCTAATGCTTGTAATCTACTATCTAAATATTCTTGTGTAATACGTTCCTTCGGACTCTTTTTAAAATTAGTTCTATATTTATTCAATCTTAAATTGATATCATTTTGTATATTAAATAACGGATCCATGTTTTTTATTTACCACTAAGTTTACTATTCAATAATAAAATAAAAAAAAATGTAAAAGAAAAACTATTTTTATTCAAAGTAAAAGTTTGTACTATTTTACTGCTACTTATATGTAAATGGCATTAATATTTACTTTGTATTATTGTAGGTATAATAGATAATCTAATAAAAATATATGAGAAAATTTCTAAGTTAAAAATTTTCAAAATTTTTCTAAGTGTTTGAGAAACCTAGGGAAAATTGGGCATAGGTTCCCCGTACCTTCGTTTTTTCGCTTACAATTCTAAGTCTAAAACTACACTTAATAACTATTAACACTATATGAAAATATTACAAGTCCCAAATAGACACTTAAATATTTTAAGTTTTTGATCTCTTGCAAATAAGGTTGAAATTAGTTCAGCTTATTAAACAGCTATTTATTTTTTATGTTTCTTCTCTTCGCTTGATATAAGGTTCAATTTCGCCTATCATTGAATTTTTAATAATTTAAATGTACTCACGGTTTCACTTCACATTCCACTCACACACTGATGGCACTGTGACGTAATACTTTCCTCCGCCCTTGACTCTTCTCCTGACGACTGCTCGCGCGCCGTCCGCAATTAGTTCCGCCGACGTCCGGTAGGTGGCGCCACCGTAGAACCGCCGACTGCTCGTACTACTTGCTGCACTTGAGTCAAGGGAACTCCTTTCCACAGCAATCCACTGCGACTTAGGAGTTGAACTGGTACCACCTTGAACTTGGTTAACACGTTCGGCTCGAAGACGACCAATGAACAAATAGGTACCGTGAGGTCAAAAAGCTGCTATTGAGGGTTCCAATTGAAACTACCATTCAATAGGGATGATAGGAATTTATTAAAAAATATTACTATAGGGAGGTCATTAAAACAAAAAAAATCTTAATAGCGCCATCTACATTTACCTGTGGCGCCATCTAGTTTGCACGGAGTGAACTAATATTACACATTCGTATCTATCTTAAACAATAATGAAATCTCATTATTTTACTTTCATGTGTTCAGGCTACCTAATCATAATGCTAAGGAGGACGAAATGGTATTTATTTGTTAGGTAAATTAATAGCAAGTATCAACAGTAGATCGTTTGCCATCACACCAGCCGAATGATTGGCAGTCTCGAAGGCAATCTCCTTGTATCAAGAACATATAGCATATGATGATGAATCACGTCATACGACTGACATATCTTATTTAAACAATGCATTAAATACTATGTTAGTCAAAGAGAAAATATGAAATATAATCTCCTTACTATAAAAGATTTGATATATACTCGATTGATCTTTCGACTATATTGTCAATTATAGATCATGGATTATCCTCTCATCCATATTGATAGAGATCCTATTGTTCCACAAACTAGAGTATAATCTTCTTATGGTAAGAAAAAACATAATTTGAAAATAATTGAAATATTTCTCGTGTTCTAATGGATTAATGTTAAAATGCCTCATCGGCTTATCAAATGATGGGGGTCGTCTTGTCTAAATGAAATGTCTCTTGCCGACGCTTGTTTTTCAAATACAATCATCTCTGTCCAACATTCTAGAAGTGTTGAATAGGAAAGGGATAGAAAATAATTTGAAGAAAAACATAATGTAGGGTTAGAAGCCGCTAGATTCGTGTCACCCCAGGTAGACCAATAAAAACGGATGTTTCATTAACTTTATGTTAGACAGCACTTATAAAGACATTAAAAACCTCAATTCGGTCGCCGACTAATGCGTTCACCATTTTCTGTCTGCGTTTTGTTATTTTTTGTCCTTTCTGTTATCTGTTACAAATTTCTTTGATACATTATATTGTTATAACGGTTCATTTAACATCATGAAAATAAATGTAGTAACTTGCTCACCGTAACCGTCGAATGATAATAATTCGGAAAACAAACGTTTTTTGAAGACCGTGTTCAAAATACGTTTGTTCACGTTATATTTAGTTTTTTAAATGTTTATTGTAATTTTCTTATATGTATTATTGCACAGGAAATACATACACACGTAAATCACAAGTTGTTTTCAATTTACATATGTTTTTTTATGTTTATAGTGCCAAAAATGAAACGCTTAGAGGTCTATTGTCAACTCACAACCAATTCTTAGCTAATACATAACCACCATTATTTCCTCATTTACGACATGTTATATCTTCTCTCTTATGTCGATTAAAAACTTATATACTTATGTTGTTGATTTTTCATAACAATAAAAACTGATGTACCTAATTAAAAACCGATCTATCCAAAAATATTATATGTATAACGTACACTTTCCCTTTAGAATTTGAAATTGCAAAATTTAAATACCAAAATAATACTCTGTTTAGTTCAAATTGTACACAAGACAAAAGAAACACTTTGTGAATAAGCACGAGAGTCCTCGACGTCTAAGCCATTCATCATTCACTTGGCACCAAATCCTCGAAGAACGGATACCACTCCAGAAACAAAGAGTGTTTATTGTCTCAAAACAAAGGCATCGTTTCATATCGCAGTGACAGCTAACTTGCCAATTATAAGTATAACTGAGAGCTGGCATCCGTGAAATTTTATAAGACGAATGTCCTTAAACTTTTTAAAATATGAATGCAGTTTTTGCTCCTTGAATTTATCCTCGTGAATCCTCAGTGAGTCTAGCTCATTTTATATCTGAAATGATTTCTAATATTATGTTCTCAAAACTGTACATTTGTTTAACTATTCGTTTGTTATCTTTTCGACGTCTATACGGCTGAACGGATATTAATTTTTGATATTAAGATAGATTATTTTACGACAACAAAGATATATATACCTTTTACATCGAAAAAAATTTTAACTTTTTTTAATAACTTTTCTAATGCTGCTGGCTGCAGCTGGCGTTTAGAGCTTCACTGAACGATAGGGGTGAGTGCAGATGACACTCCAAACCTGTAGAAGGAGTTATGGAGCGGCTAACACTGCCCGACGCAAGCCAACTTCTACCTGACGAATATAGTCAGTAGTATTCTATTATAATATCAAGAAATTATACTGCAGATTTGCATGAAATTACCTTTTTGGTTTCTATATTTGATTGGCATAAACTTAGCATGCACATCATAATATTGTCAAAATAGAATCTACTCCTTCTTTGATAAAGTTCAGTCACACCCTAGCTAACTAACCTACTGTAATTTGGACATGCAAACGCGTCCTCTATTTATGAGCACAAATGACCGTCTATCTGCGCAACGAGATGCTTCCTCTACTGCAGTGGTTCCCAACCTTCAAGTCAGAGAAACAGACACGCTTTTACATATTAATAGGGATTTATAATTAAATTACATATTAAAAATATTGAAGGTGTGCAGGTTGTATGCAAGGATCGATATGATGATATAATATTATACTGGCTAGTTAGTAAATAGAGCATATTCTTTCTAAAAATGTGTGAGTCTCTCTGTTTGTTACCTTTTCATGACAATACAACTGAAGGGATCTTAAAGATTTTTTATAAAGATAAAATTCAACACGAACTCGCATGTAGGCTTTTATATCATAAAAGCAACGAAATGACAGTTAACAGTGAGTATTTTTGAATATTGTTGTTCCAACTGACAACAAAATGATAACAATAAAAAGGTTGGAAATAAAGTTGGGAACCACTGCTCTAATCTATGTTTTGTTTGATCATATTTATTGCGGCTTGCTGTATTTCCATTCGTCGTTTAGTTTTATGTGGCTCAGCATCTCATTAGGGAGCAGTGCACTATATCGTTTCTATCTAAACTGTTATCTTTGATAATGTTTTAGTGCACAGATAGATAACTCTAGTAAACTACACTGCGCTTATATACAATTAAAATAAATTATGATCTTGGTGATTTGGTAAACTATGCTCTACCAGTCATTACAGGTTTGGTTCCTGGAAGAATAAATTCTATTAATGATTACTTGTTCATTAGTACTGTATTTTAGTTTGTATCAATTTGAACGTATTTTATTCATATGTTTCCATAAGATTTTTCTTTTTTATTGTTTTTTTAGTTAAGTTTTCATGTAATATATTGCTTAAATTGTGCAAAAATGAATTGCAAGAGAGAATTTTGTCACTAGAAAAGGAAGGTGTTGGTATTTTACTATCAATACTTAGACAGATACCAATTTCTGTCTAATTCTCCGGTAATGAAAACACCACTAACAAACCAAATCTTTAAGAGAACAGTAGCCTCATCCACTGCCACGTTCTTCTTCAAATATACCGAACGAACTGCTGGCATGTAAAGTGTTGCTTTGACCACAATATCAACAATAGACCACGTCCACGTGCTGAAAGTTTCTTCACATATATAAATCATATTTTTAATAATACAAAATGAGGAAGCTAATATATCAATTAAACTAATTGACTGTTCCTCAAACTAGAATATATGCCCTGTATTATGAGAAAGTAAGCAACGAACATCTGGAGTGCAACCCACAACACTCGTCGCTAATATATTACTATTATATATCTTTTTTACACTTGTTATACGACATAAAAACCTTTCCTGTACAGGATTAGTCTTAGAGAATGTATATGCCGTACAAAGTTCCGACGTTGACCGAAAATATTATTTTATTCTCTTACGAGAAGAACAGAAGTCTAATGAAGTAATATATTTTAGTACGGTTAACTAGGGGAGTGGGGATTGTTAGTAATGGGGACTACTGACTATATATACCTACATATATATATGAAGGCTATCACTTTCCATCAGGTTAGTATTGTTTTCTACTGTAGTTGTATAATTCTAAAACAAAAAATAATAATTGAGATATTATTGTAACATTACCATGATTAATATAACTACGGAATTAAATTAAAATAATTTATTTAATTGAATTCTAATTTCGAAGCTCATTTCTTGATTTCGTGGAAACGTGTTTAAATTCGAATTATATATTTAAGGTCACATTACATTAAAATGTCCAGACATTAATTCAATTTATCGATAGAAATATCACGTAATTGT